CTAGATGAGCAGCATACTCACCTGTCATCTCTAGATGTCATGGATCAGACATACACAAAAGCCCCAGAAACTCTACAGATGTGTCTAAGGCATAGGCTTTGAGAAGTTGAAATTATGTTGCATTATCAGGGTCTGGCTGTCTCAGAGTGTGACAGTGTGGTGACGAAGCGAGGTCAGAGAAGACAGAGAAAGAGAGAGAGAGAGAGAGAGAGAGAGAGAGAGAGAGAGAGAGAGAGAGGGAGAGGGAGAGAGAGAGGAGAGAGAGAGGGAGGGAGGGAGGGAGAGGGAGAGGGAGAGGAGAGGGAGAGAGGGAGGAGGGAGAGGGGAGGGAGGGAGGGAGGAGAGGAGAGGGAGGGAGGGAGGGAGGGAGAGGAGAGAGAGAGAGAGAGAGAGAGATGACATGACTGGCCATGACTAGCTGTGGCTGTGAATGAGAAGGGTCATCCACCAAGTTCTACACCTATGGGGAGCTGAAGTTTGGCAATAACCTGGACAGATTCCCTCCCAAAGCCTTCTGATGCTTTGGATTCATCCCAGTGCTGTTTCTGACCTGCAGAACTGTAAGATAATAAATCTGTACTGTCTAGCCCACTATGCTTGTGATAATTTGCAATGGCAGAAATAGAAAAGGAACACAATATGTGATTTAGTAATTCTCTGGGGGTATTTCACCTAGAGAGATAAACATTTACATTCATGCAAAAAACTAATAGACTTATTTACAAAAATATCTTTCTACAACCACAAAAACAAACAAACAAACAACACTCTGGAGACAACCTAATGAACTTCAATAGGTAGATAACTAATCAAACTGTGATGTACACACACAATAGGGAAAAGTATGTATACACACAGAAGCTGGAGAAGTCCCCTAGCATTCTTGATGGCATATGTATCTATGTATGTGTTAAAATTCACAAGAATGTACATGTCTGTCAGAAGCCCATTTCTCTGCATGGTAACTGAAAACAATAAACTCACATTATAACAACCTAACAGTAAAGCAGCTAAACAACTCTCATCGATGACACTTTTTGGGCAATTCCAACCCTAGGGAAGAAACTATCAACACAGTTGTGGAAGAAGCAGTCATTTCTCTTTCTTTGTATTTCAATACCCCTTATACTCCTTCCTAGTTAGAGCTCCTGTGGGACTTCTGCAGACTTACTCAAGTATTTTCTCCTGCCTGGAAAATGGGAAGTGTGCTTAGAAAGCGCCATTGTCCTTTCTTGTGGGAAAGTGGGACTCCCCTTATGGGTACAGCACTCGTTCTTACCTCAGCCTGCCTGGAACTAGAACCTTCACTCTGAAAATCTGAACAATTTGTCACTTAAGTATGGCCTACAAAAGACATGTAATTTATATGAACGTCAGCTCTTCATGTATGAAATAAAATGTTTGCCCCCTCTCACCAGTTCATCAGGGCATGTGGATTTTAATTTGTAAATTCCATACAAGTGTGAACTGCAGGTATTATTATGAACATGAAATTTGGACTTAGGGGCAGTCTTAAAATTTGGGAAAGGGAGACTGTTATCTAAGAAAGGTATGTAATGAGAGAGACACATACACACAAACACAGAAAGAATACTATGTATCTATGCATACATACACATACATCTATACACAAACATATACTGTGTGTAGTATGTACATTCTATTTCCCTCGGGTTTTATTCATATTAAATTCTTTTACCACTTAAACAAGTAATCCATGCATTTAATTAGGGACCAGCTCTTTTGTTGTGTGGTTATCAAACAGAAACCTAAAGCTGGTGCCAAATTAAATGCATGGAATCTCTCTTGGGATGACAAGGCTGCTCACTATAAACCAATAGATCTAAACATAAATATCCTTTGGTTTGATGTCTTACAGAAAGTCTAGGCCTGGATTGTCCATATCCAAGGAAACATTATTATTCAATCGATTTATATTTTTTTCTTTCCTGCAGAAAAAATGCTGAGAAAGGTGAACTTCCCCACTGTGAATTAGACCAGTCAGGAAATCCAGCGGGGCTAATTATATATGGGATGATTTCTGTACTTTCAGGTAACTATGGCAATATGCAGCTCCCATGTGCCAAACCAATTCTTCAGGAACATGACTAATTAATTCACAAGAACAGAAGTTGCCTTGAAACACACCAACCTTGTCTTTTGGTTTTAGGGTTTATCTTCTTCCCTTGCATACCAGTGTCATTCTGCTGTGACTTTTTGAATCCTTGGGCACATCAACACTGCTGAGTACGTGCTTTAAAATCTGTCACCACAACCAAGTTTCAAGTTCTATAGCCACATACTTCCTTCTTCATTGAAATCCATTATATTCCCAATGTTAGTGGGACTAGTTAATACAGACATGCTTAGTTCATTTTTCTCTTTTGCTCAATTTGTCTTTTCCTGCCAGAACAGAAAACAGTTCAAAGAGGTTTTGAAAGTTATAAATCACACTTTCACTTTCTTCTGTAAATATCTATTGAGCTTTATCTAGTGTGAGATTAAAAAACAACAATACATGGACTTTGACTTAAAGATCCAGGGTGTAGAAGGTGAGACACATGTTCTGTGTTGACAAAATGAATTGCAAATTCAGTGATATACACTTTTTTGTTGTTTGTTTTTCAAGACAGGGTTTCTTTGTATAGCCTTGGCATTCCTGGAACTTGCCACCCTGTAGACTCGGCTGGCCTTGAACTCAGAGATACCCCTGCCTCTGTGTCTCCGGCACTGGGATCACAAGCAGGCAGTGCCTTTTCCACAAGCATTCCAGGAGGTTAAACTCGCTTCTTCTTGACTGAATGTGTCATCTCCAGAGCCCCTTCATCTGACTTTTACCTTCAACCTCATATTACTTTTACTAATTCTAAGTTTGCTTTTTATTCTTCCAGGGCAGGTTGGGCAATCAGATCAGCAGCTGTGTCAAAAGCACCCCCGGGGAAAGAGATTTGCTTTCAGCAGTTAAGACCATGTAACTGCACCAGAGTCAGGTTCCCAGCTCCACATGGGACAGCTCACAACCACCTTTAACTCCAGCTCCAGAGAGACTGAATATCTCTGGCCTCTGTGGGTATCTGCACTCACATAACAAAACCATACATATACACAATTAAAAATAAAAACATAAATGTAAATCTTTATGCATAAAATACTTCCTTTATTCCTATTCCCTCATCATGAAATACTTCTCTGCCTACCCCCCCCCCATCCCTGGTTTCTTCATCTCATAGTATTCATGGGTTTGTCATGATGTTGTTTTGTTGTCTCTCTTGGAAATGGGAGTAATAATGGACCAAGCTGCACGGGGGCAGGAACTTAGCCTATCTTATTCGCCTTCAGAATGCAGCACGGTGCCTGCTACACAGTAGATGTTCAACACATGTTTGCTCAGTATAATGTACCACCCATAGCTAAGACACAGTTTCCAGTTTAGCTCCCACCCATTTGTGTTCATTTATTCACTGAGACACCAAGTGCCACGCACTTGGTTAAGTATTAGGGATGCAATGCAAGACACCTATGACTATAGCCTTCAAGTGATTTGCATTTTATGCAAAGCATATACAACTGAAATTTACCAAAGCCTTTTCCACTTCTTTTCCCTCCTTTATCACATACTTAAACGACTAGTCCTATTAACATTCGTTGCCTCAAGAGAAGATGCGATGTAAGAAGAGAGACAAAGCGTATGATCTTTTCTAGAGTGCCAGGACCACAACTAAGTGGGCAGATGGAAACGACATGCTTTCCAAAGCAGATCTGAGGGCACTGGGCAACGGAGACAGGCTTTCCTGTCTGTAGCTGGGAAATACTTCACCCCACGGGCTGTGAGGAAAGTAATCAAGACAGGGGCACCTGGACCTCATCCGCCAGGCAAACTTTCAAGGAACAAAGAAACCCCACTGATGTCTCTTAAAGGGCAGAGGAAAAGCTGCTGCTTGTGTCTTCTTGAAACGGTGGCATGGTGTGCCTGGGCACATGAAGATCTGGGAAACTTCTCCCATCCCATCCACATTCCCTTCCAAGAATGGAAGCATTCTTGTCCCTTTGTTTCCAGATCTTTCTCATTTTGTGCGTTTCTTCTACACCACCCTGTCCACAAGAACCTAACCTCACACCTCTCAGAGTTATCTTTCTAAAGCACAGATTGTCCACAAGAACCTGCCTCTCACACTTCTCAGAGTTATAAAGCACAGATTGTCCACAAGAACCTAACCTCACACCTCTCAGAGTTATCTTTCTAAAGCACAGATTGTCCACAAGAACCTGCCCCCTCACCTCTCAGAGTTATCATCTTTCTAAAGCACAGATTTGATTCTCTTACCTGTTCGGTTCTCTTCATTAACCCCCTGGCCTCCTCTACTTCCTGAAATCTTGACTTTCTCTCCAATCTCTTTTCTCATCTACAAAACTCAAGTATCCTGCTGTATCTGGGAAGCTCCTCCTGCCTCCTGCCTTCATCTGATTCCTCGTCACTTACTGTATCTATTCTTTCATTCTTTGAAGTACAAGCACAACCATGCGCTGGTACAGACCCCAGAGGAGAATATAAGGTGTCCTGTACCATCACTTTCTGTCTCACTTCCTTGAGACAGGGTCTTTTACTGAACCCGGGCCTTGCTGTTTCAGCTAGACTAACTAACCGGCCGGCAAACCTGGGAGTCCTTGCTTACCATGGATGCACTCACACCCAGTGTTCTCTTTCCAGGGTTGTGGGGGCATTGACCTCAGACCATCGTTCTTGTGCAGTAAGCACCCTTCTTAGCTAAGCCAAATCTACAAGTCTCAGCTTCAGTGGGAGATGAATGTTTCAAAGATTAAGGGCGAATGTGATCAAGGAAGACAACACTCGACATCCGCCTCTGGTCTCCACAAGCTCATGCACACACACACACACACACACACACACACACACACACACACACACACACACACACCCTCCACACACACCCCCCAATAGGGGCAGGAGGGAAGAGGAATAAAGGCAACCTAGCACTGCATTTAGTATTTATAAAATTGTTTTACTGATACAGTGATATTATAGGTGAACAGCTATGGCTAAAACATCTTGGGTATAACATTTTAAAAGTTACATTCCACAGACACATTCTGCTTAATTCTGTAAATTCCACAGGCGTATTCTATGCCTTTCATCATCTTGAAAATTATACACAAGACCGTGAAAGCTGTATTAATGTTTGCTCAGTTCTTTCTGTGTAAGTATCATAAAAATGTCAAGTGTGTTGACCCTTCAAAAAGTTACATTTTGCTTACCATAGAGAAATGTCCCATTTTTCCCTAGAAAAAGAATAATATTTTCTGATTGTTCAAGCACTTTGTGATTGTGCTATTTGACTCTCTATTTTGACAGCTGCCTTTCATTTGTTATTGGAGAACCTCTTCCTGCACATTCCTTCTTACCCTTTCCTAGCCAAGGTGGTGGTGGGGGAGGGGTCAGAAGTTTCCAGAATTATTCAAATTTAAGGGTTTCTTAAGGAAACAAATTCCTCACTTCTTACCCTATACAGAAAAATCAGGTGTGTGTGTGTGTGTGTGTGTGTGTGTGTGTGTGTGTGTGTGTGTGTGTGTAGAAATATCAGACACTGAGATTTGGGAATCTGTGCTACCCAGAAAGCTCCTAACACCTTGGATGGCCAGGCATCCAGTAGTTACTTAGGTGATGCGTGCTGGGACTATGAGGGCATGAGGAGGAAGTATTGCCACCATTCCACCGACGGAGAAGTGGAGGCTCTTGTATTATATGCATAAGTGTGTGTTGTCTCTGCTAATTTAGAAGCCATTCACCATTATCATTCTATGTAAAGGGGAAAACAATGAGAGCAGTGATATATGTGAAACACTGACTTATTCACTGCCAGACTCTCCTATACACAGCAAGTCAGTCTTGGATGCTAAAGAAATGCTACAACCTAATGATTAAAACTCCCACATTTTTAGCTAGGAATGGACAGGCTCTTCTTCCGGGGACAAAACGTTGACTGTACTTGGTCACAGTGGCTCACTTACAAAAGTCTCCACACTATGGACAGCAGCATTTTAGTGCAGGGACACTTGAAGAAAGGGTTTTAATGAATACACAAATGCTCAGTGTGACACTGTTACAGGAAGGAACTTAAAGTAGCCTAAGGTTTCATTAATAAGTTGCTGGACACACAGACAATGAGCTTCTTAGAGGTGGTAGCTTATGCAGACATTTGAAATACAACAAAAATGCCTATAGTGTTATAAAAAGATGGGTCACAATATACTAACTCAAAGGTGAACTTTTGAGGGGGACATGCTTGTCCTTGAGTGAAAATATTCATTGAAATATTGGTGATGGCAGCTTCTAGAAAGTGAGGCGGGCTATTTATTTAACCCAATTTATTTCCACAGTACTTTCATGTTTTTGAAAGGAAAATAAATTATTTTTAAAATTCAGAAGTTAAAATGTAACTATAATTCTGACTTTCAGAATCAGTTTATTTTTAAAACAGCCCAAGAGATGGTTAGCTGCTGTCCTACTTTGCCCTGGTACCCAGAGTGTTGGTCATATTGCTAGAGGCACATGTGCATTTTGAGGGAACAAATGAGTGAGGACGGCCAGGCTTTCCCTTGACATTAGGAAAATGAGACTTGTTCCACAACTGATGGCCACTGCCACTAGAACATGCACTGGGAGGGATATCATCATATTCAGTTCCTATAGCCCAGAATTTAAGTGGGCGAATCAGTGGAGAAGCATTTCTGATGGGTGACCACAGCGAGGGGGCTAATTTAAGTTGAAGACTATCAACTTCCCCAAAAGTAAATCAGGGTTCTATCTGCATCAGAAAAGCATTCCTATTGAGCCCTCTTGAGATTCTCCAAGTGTCCCTGTCCCTCTTATCTGCTGGTTTGGACATCATGAGACTAGAGAAGGCATCTCAGTGGGTGTTCACCTGACTTAGCTAATTCAGAGGCTGCTCTTAGCTAGTTCCCAGTTCCCAGGAGAAGCACCAGAACCTGTAGGAATGCCATTTTCTCCTGGGGGAATTCTTTTTTGTGAACTAGGAAGTCCCTCACTGACTGAGTGCTGGAGCCTTGCAGAGTTGACTGAATCCAAGCAGCTCTTCCCGCTGGTTTAAAGAAATCCTGGAATCAAAGGCTTGCCTGGAGGTCCAGCATCAACACATAGGCATGGTGGGATCCTTGGGCAGCAACCACTTCTCTCTGAACCTAGGCTTCTACACAAAACAGGGTTCACTATGCTTCTCCACTTATGGGTGTCTTTAAGAAGATATTTGGTGCTAAAATCCCAGTGCTCGGGATGCTGAGGCAGGGGGGCTGCACAGGGAGAAACTGCCTCAAAATAACCTTCCAAAAGAAGACAGTAAGCTAATACATGTTCATTGTACATTGCAATGTGTGGCATAGAATGTTCACTGAAGAGCACTGAGTTTTATAGCCCTTTTGATGATGTGTTTGACAGAAACAGGGAGGGATTGGTACATGCAGCAGAGAGGTGGTGAGTGCCACACACACATGGGCACATGGACTAGAGACTGCATGCTTCAGGATCTCATCTTAGCTCCCCTTACAAACAAGGGAGGACACTCTCCAGTGGGGTGGGGGATCTCCTGAAAGGAGTCCGCCTTTTACAGCATAGATACTCTCTTATAAAAGTGTGTGTGTCCATTCGCCTCTTGGAGACTTGAGGAACAGCTCCCTCTGGGGCTGATCTCAAAACTGTCCCCTCCGAAGCTTCCTAGTATCCAGACAGCAGTGAGGAGATGGGTATATTTGCTCCAGCCACTCTGTCTTTCTCAGGGTTAATGACTCTTTGTCAGTCTGCATTTGACTGACTTTATGCTTGTCCTCAAGACCTAAACTAGGAATCCTAAGTGTATTCAATGTAAATCCCCAGTCTTTCATGTATGCAGAGAGGTATGAGTGGATATGATGCCCATGTGTATTCTCCATACACATTCTATATACCAGGTAAAACTCAGTAGAAAACTTAGGAGCTGGGAACCGATGCTGACATAGGTGCTATGACCGTAGGAACTCAGTGACTCATTTATGTGAGGATTCTCACACTGTGTTCTCACACCGTGTTCTCAGGAGTGCTAGGCTTGCTGAAGTGATGCTGGGCTGCCTCACTTGGCTCCAGGCCTTCGTTCTGTTACAAGCAGCCTGGCAGTGTTTTAAGAGATACCTTTATTTCTATCAGCTCTCCTTAGATGCTCCTTCTGGCAATGGTGCCCAAGCATGCCAAACCACTCGCGTGATCCAGGGTCTTTATTTTAGAAAACATGAGCCATGGGACAAAGCCTGCTGACAAGTCATAGAGCAGTTGGTGGGTGTCCAGGGGTGATGAGGGGTGGGCCCACAGAAGGAGAGGGTGGGGTTAAGAAGAGGCCACAATTTACTCGGAGGTGTCCTCTGGATTGCGTGGAATGCACAGCTGTGGACCCAGCTGAGTCAACAGAATGAAGGTGCTCTGTTGGACTATAACCTCCCCCTGTGAGGACAGTTGGGAGCAGGGCAAAGGGGACTGACTGGACATGGAATCAGAAGGTGAGGTGTCAGTCTCAATCCCGGGTCAGGACGCTCTGTCTCTCTGAAGCACTGTTCATCCAGCTGAAGACAAGAGTGAAAATGGCCAACAGACCAGCCCTACCACCACACTGTTTGGTTTAAATAAGATGAGATTTGGAAGCATTTTATACACGAGAGAAGTCTCCTAACAATGAAGTTAGATTATGTCCTATGAATTACAGGTAAAAACAAACAAATAAACAAAGATTGTATTCAGCAGCCAATGGGTTACCCATATAGCAGCACCCTTCCAAAAGTTTCTCAGATCACTTTCCTAAACTGTGAGTAGAGAGAGGGGACTATCAGAAAAGTAGTAGTTTCATATGCTTATATAACTTTCCAATATAAGATTTTGGCATAAAAACCATTGCATCTAATACCAAACAATGAACTATATACTAAGTTATATAGACCCAATCATATACGAAAAGTTAGACGCTAATTATATATGACTTCAACAAACGCAACTAAATTATTTTCAAATAGTATAGTGGGCAGCTGGTCTTTAACATGTATACAGAAATACCACAGTTCCAGGTTGACACGCTGCCTGGTAGAATGTGCTGGATTCCTGCTTATCAGGCTGTGGCATCTTGTGTCTGCCTGTGCACCTGGACTGAAAAGCCAGAGGACTGAAGCACATTTCCATGGACAGTCATCAGCTTTTCTGGTCTGTCAGCTCTCTGGGACAGTCTTCTTCATTCTCCTCTGAGCAGGACAGGTTCAGGACACTCATCATGGGATGGATCCAGGACGTGGTCTGTGTTACATGACTTGAGAAGAACGAAGGGTATGGATTAGAATGGGAAAGACTTTCCACCAGCCAAACAAGTACCCATCCTGGGAACACTGCTACCCGGTTGCCAGCTCCTGGGACAGGAAGCAGTTAGAACTGGATCCAGTGGTGTTAGTAAGTCTTAGAGATGTTTTAAGGGTCTTCAATAACCATGAATGCAGATGAATGTATCACCTCGAAATGCCTTTTCCTCTCCCAATGTTGTCTGTGAGCATGTCCTATGGCTGTCTAACTGTGGGCATCATCTCTGGAGTCTGTCTCCTCCTTTCTTTTTCCAATGCAATAGTCTGGTATGCTGAAATAGCTTCTCTGTCTCAGTTCTATTTCCGTCCTAACTCATTCTCCACTCTAAGCCAGAGACCTTCCTAAATGACAAAGCATACATGGTCATTTACCTGTAAAACACTTGGTTCTAACTGATTCTGGGTCAAAGACATTCTACAGTATGATTCTGGGCCACATTTCTCCTCCCTAGGGAATTAGTACACACTAACTCCAAAGAAGCAAATTCTCCTTATGATTCCTCCCATCTGAACCCATAGTCTCCTCTTTAACTTTCCTATATTATAAATGCATATCTATTGTCAGCCTTCTTGCTGCTTAGGAAACTCCCCAACAGCAGGAACTGTCTTTTTTATTTCTGCATTTGTGGTGCCTGATGAGTTCTCAGAACAAATGACGAGGGTCCTGAAGAGCATTGTGGGGAGAAGGAACAGAAGCAGAGGCGGGGAAGGGGCACTGGGGCAGGGGATAGATACATTTAGGGAGTGGCAGAACACCATAAACCACACTCAGACATGGTGAATGTGTGTCTCAGATTCCTAACTCAGCTGGATGATTCTTGTATGTCCATTACCATTTGCTCAATCCCTTGGAGTGGGGATGGGGTAGGAAGGACATTTATAAATGAATCTTTCTGTAGAAATAGATTACTAATAGTTTCACAATGGGGTAAAGGACTTCAAGTAGTTCAAGAGTAACTGTGGAAGTGACAGGGCCCAGGTATCTTCAGTTTCCAGAGTTTGAGTGTACTGGCAGAGAGGGAATATGGTGAGAAATAACACTTAAGATCAATGAAAAGCCTATATGGACACCTACTACTGTGGAAGCTTCCTAGAATACATCCATATATAAAAGGCGATTAGTTGTACATGCCAACCCCATATACAGTGGACTATCAAATAAAAAGCCCAGTGTCACTTACAGATTACTTACTTTTGAGTTGTGGGGTTCCATAGCTCCCTGAGCCTCAAGCATCACAGGCTGTAGCCATTGCTCTTGTCTCCCCTCCAGAACTTGATAGTAAGACCCTATTGCTGAAGACACTATATACTTGAGTCATGGGACATGGAGAAATCAAGCTGGCATGGACCTGCAAAGTTCTTCCCTACTGGCTAGTTTTCACAGTATTGGAAGGTTCTGTACACACCGCCAGCCTAAGCACAACAGTCCTACCCAGCCATGAACCATGTGAACTTCAATGAGAGGTCTGGCAAGATACACCCACTGGTGACATTAATGTTACAGGAGTAACCAATACTTTCTGAATGGATTCAAAACTTGCTCCATAAGATGCAACTCATGCCTATGGGGCTAAAAACCCATGGCTGTCTGGGCCATAGACTTTAGAGAAGAACCTTAATCTATTATTCTGCAAATGGACACAGTAATAAACTACCCCCTAACTTCTTTTATTTTATTTTTTCTATTATTTTAAAGTTATTTTTGGTTTTTTGAGACATGGTTTCTTTGTGTAGCCCTGGCTGTCCTGGAACTCGCTCTGTAGACCAGGCTGGCCTCAAATTCACAGAGCTCTGCCTGCCTCTGCCTCCCAAGTGCTGGGATTGAAGGCGTGTGTCATCATTGCCTGGCATGCACCACCACTGCCTGGCTAAGTTCTTACCTTCATTCCATATATTAGCACATCTCTCAACCCTCATCAAATGACTAATACAGAAATCCACAACTGATTATCATGCACACAAGAAGAGACTGTAGAGTGCTCAGAGAAGGTGGAGAGCTCAGCTCTAAATGGGACATCACCACCCCCCTCCCACAAGGTTGAGGGATCGTTGAGAAAGAGGCATAGAAAGAGTCACAGGCAGTGAATGTCTGCAGTGGAAAAGTACTTGCTGGACATGGCACAGCTGTTGCACATAGGAACTCAACAGCAGCTGTGTCAGCATGCATAGGATCTGCACAAGATGAAGCCAGTCGAAGTCCCTGCCTAGACAGGGAGAAGCGCATGAAGTCCCACCTAGCTGAGGAGTTCTTGGCACCTGATGGCTGTAGAAGAGGGCAGAGATTTGGCCTCTGAGGGGCTGGCTACTCATCCTCCAGGGGATTGTCTTACACGCATGCATGCATGTACAGATAGTACTAAGTAGACTCAGTGAGCTTAGAAAAAGAAAATGAGAGCACGTGAAGTTGGGAAGGAAAAGTCATGGGGGTGGGCAAGGGAGGAAAGGGAATGAGGAATGGATTAGATCAAAGCACATTGCATACATGTCTGAAATTATCAAACAGTAAGTCAGATATTAAAAAGGAACAGTTATTCTCTCAGCCGTAATTCCTATTGCCACTCTCTTTAAAGTGTTCAAAGGGATGTCTTATGAAGGCTAAACTTACTGGGGCATCAAGCCCAGATTCAGCTAATTTCAAGGCCCCTTTGAGGCCTAAACTGAAAGGACTGTTAAAGAAATACTAAGGAGTGTAACCAAGAGGGCTGGGATGCCATGGCACGGTGAGATGGATAGGCACCATCCTGCACAGAGTATGCTTTCACAAGGAATGTGCTGGATAACACTGCTTCGTGGATTTGACAGTCTCAGAATCCAGAGATTCAATGTTTACTGGCCCAGTTTCAATGTACTGGTACAGCTCAGAGAGTGTTGTTTAAATTATTTTAAATACTCCCTTCCCTTATAATGTTACCTAAATGGGGAGAGTAGGAAGCAATAAAGTCAGAAACAAGCATCTGCAGGACAAGTGCAGGTACATGCTTTGCCATTTGACTATCTTACAAATGATAGTCTCATTCTTGAAATATTAACTATGTAACCATATAGACATTGGTAAATTGGTAACTCAGGTAATCAAAGGCAAGATGTCTAAGAAAAACTATAGATACTGACTCTCTACAATTGATGTTAGAAAGCTCTACCTAAAATTTGTTATTGTTAATAACCTTCATCAAGATACTTTTTAAAAATCAAATATTTTCATTTACTTTACATCCCAACCACAGTTTCCCCTCCTTCCACCTTTCCTCTGTCTCCCGCAACCCCTCCCCCAAGATTCATGAATTCACTCTTCTGTTTCTGTTCAGAAAGAGGCAGGTCTCCCATGGTTATCAACAAAACATGACATATCAAGTTGAGGTAGGACTAAGCTCCTCCCCTTATATGAAGCCTTGGTAAGGCAACCCAGTAAGAGGAATAGGCTTCCAGAAGCCTGACAAAGCATCAACGGCAGGCCCTGCTACCACTGTTGAGTACCACAAATAGATCAAGATATACAACTGTCACACATATGTAGAGGGACAGATAATTCCCTTAGGTGCCGGACTAGAGTCTGTGAGTTCCTATGAACCTAGGCTAGCTGTCTCTGTGGGTTCTCTTGTGATGGCCTTGACCCCCTGGCTTGTACAATCCTTCCTCCCTCTCTTCAACAGGATTCCCAGAGCTTGGACCAGTGCTTGACTGTGGATCTCTGCATCTGCTCCCATCAGTTACTCAATGAACTACTCTGATGACAATTAGAGTAGTCACTAATCTGATTATAGGAGATGGCTAGTTCAGGCTACCTATCCACTATTTCCAGGAGTCTTAGCTGGGGGTCATCCTTGTAGCTGAAACAAGAAAACATCATCCTGAGTGTGGTAACCCAGACCCAGAAAGACAAACATGGTATGTACTCACTTATATGTGGATATTAGCTATACAGTAAAGGAGAACCATGCTACAACCCACAGCTCCAGAGAGACTGGATAACAAGGAAGGCCCAAAGACAGACTCATGGATTTCCTTGGAAAGGGGAAATAAAAGATATCTCCTGAGAAAACGGGGTGCGGGCGGGAATGGGAACATGAGTGATTGGGTTGGGGGAGGGATAGAGGGCAAGAGTAATGAAAGAGATGTCTTCATGGGGGTGCATTTTGGGGTCAGGTAGAAACCTGGTACGAGAGAAACTCCCAAGAATCATCAAGACTTTTTATTGACAAAATGTGACTTCACTCAAAGCTCATACTTAACGTTTAAGTAGCCTTATATTCCTAGTATACTTTTTTGTTAAGATAAAAGCCTAAGATAATAGCTTGATTTTATTGGTAAAGAAACATGCGTACGTGCACGCGTGCACGCACACGTGCACACACACACACACAAACACACCCCACCACCACTACCACCAACACAACAAAAAACCTTACCTGCATGCACATCTCTAAATACTAAACATGTAATCCCAGTAACTATTTACTAGAAAATAGCAAGGCAATCTAAAAACAAACAAACAAACAAAAAACCCAAGTCAATAAGGAAAGGTTTTTGGTGTCTCAGAGGCTATAATTGGATCTTTGTAAACGGAATAATACAAAATACTTAGAACCCATGAGACAGAACTTCTGAAGCACAGGTGGTGTGTGTAAAAGGCCTGGCAAAGAGTAGACATTCAAAAACTGATCACAGCTAGTTTTATTGATAATTAGGGCTTTTTGATTAGTGCAAGAACACATTGGAATTCTGCCTATAATGCTGGAGTGGAGCCAGTCTTGAGTCTGTCGTTCAATTTTATGTCTTAGTGAGCATGGTGGCTAATGCTCTTTGACATAATCAGTATGATGAGATAATCCCAGATTTACTACTGGCTTGGAGAACATTCTAGTATTAGAAATAGTCCCCCTCACCCTGATTTGTGTGTTTGGTAATTCAGCTAAGTGGAGAATAAATCAGTTCAGCTGACTACTCTGTTTAATTA